GACGTGTCGAAGTTCGCCGTGACCGCGGCGACGAGCCCGGGGAAGCGGTCGTCGTCGGCGCGCGCGGTCTTGAGCTCGTCGAGGAGCTGGGGCAGCGCCGCGCCGCCCGTCGGCGCGAACGGCGCGGGCGCGGTCCGGAGGTCGCGCCAGTCGACGGACCGCACCCACTCGTGGCGCGCGACGTCGCCGAGGCCGCCCCGCGCGCCGAGCCGGTCCGAGGCGTCCGCGAGGAGCGCCGCGAGGAACGCGACGCAGGGCCGCCGGAGCCGCGCGCGCGCGTCCGCGGGCAGCGCGAGGTGCTTGCGCCACTCGAGGATCTTCCGGCACGTCGCGTTCGCGTCGTCGGCGTAGAAGGGCGTGTAGCCCACGAGGCACTCGTACATGATGACGCCCAGGCTCCACCAGTCGCAGGCCTTGCCGTAGCCTGTGTGGAAATCAACCAGTGAGCTGGGACGTCGGGGCCAAACTTGAGAATTCTCTAGCTCGGTCAAATCGAAGTCGATTCGGCTGATTTTTGGACGGATCGATCGCTCTCGTCGAGTTCTCGAAGCCCAGCCGAAGGGCTTGTGTCGAAACGGTCGCATACGCGCACATTGAAGTCGGGTTGAAGATTTGAATTCGGCACAGGCCGTAGCCGACGGGCGCGAGGACCTCGGGCGCGATGTAGTCCGGCGTGCCGACGGTCGAGTACGCGAGCTCGCGGCGGCTCGGGCCGGGCGACGCGCCCGCGTCGCCGAAGCCCGGCGACGCGCAGGCCGGCGGCGTCGGCGGCGCGACCTCGGAGAAGCCCGGGTCGCTCGGCGCCGTCGCGCGGTCCGGCGTCCGCGGGCACTCGCCGCCGAGGGCCTCGAAGACGACGCCGTCGCCGTCGACGCGCGTGCAGAGGCCGAGGTCCGTGAGCTTCACGTGGCCGTCGTGGTCGATGAGCACGTTGTCGGGCTTGAGGTCGCGGTGCGCGTAGCCGTGGTCGTGCACCGCCTGGACCTGCGACGGGTGTCGCGTGTCGTCGCGTGTTTTCTTTTTTTGGACCGCGCGGGCGTCGCGCGGCCGCGGCGATCTCGCAGACGTAGAAGCGCGTCGCGTCCTCGGGCAGCGTGTCGAGCTTGACGAGGAGCGACATGAGGTCGCCGCCGGGCAGGAACTCCATGACCATGTAGAGGTGGCTGCTGTCCTGGAAGGAGTCGTAGAGCATCGCGATGGCCGGGTCCTCGGACAGCGACAGCATGTCGCGCTCCGCGCGGACGTGCGCGACCTGGTTCTTGGCGACCATGGCGTTCTTCATCATCGACTTGAGCGCGAAGAGCTCGCGCGTGTCGACGCGCCGGACGAGCCTGGCGGGAAAAGAGGTTCCCGACTTTCGAGGCGCCTCTCTCGGTCAGTTTCCGCTCGTTTCGGCTCATTTCTGGACGGGCGATGATCTCTCGGA